GAAGAAAAAAACTGTTTTAAACAGTTAATTCTCAAACATTATTTGTTTAGTATCAAACAAAAAATATATTAGTTTTTGGGCTGAAATATGTATCCTAGATATTATTATTAAAAAGAGTTATACAATACTTATCCACAAGTTTTTGAGTCTTGAGCCCAAATTTTAAGCACATGTATCAGTAAACTGGATATTTCTCTTGGAATCTGCTTCAAACTTTGGGGGAAAAGTCCAGTTACCATATGCTCCCCTGTGTGATAAAATTCATTTGGAAAGGAACTGAAATACAAGACATTCTTCAATATCAGATTATAATTTAGGTGACTTCGAATATTAGGCTCTGGTGATTAGTGGGACTTTTGTACGGGAAATACAGTCAATTAGTGTATACTTTGGGAATGGTTGTGCACAGTTTGTCAAGTACATTTGTTATTGTCTGGTGCAAGGGCCTGTGGTGATGCCTTGTTTGTGTTGTAATATTACACTGATCTGTACTCTGTAAAGATACCTTGTTATCTAACTTGTTCTTTTAATAAATGATATTTGTACCTGTCAATTGGGCTCTTGGTTGATATTTGGAGTTTTCGCAAAGTTAATTAGACTGCTAGACTATTTCTGACCATTGTTCTCGGACCTGACATAGAGGAGATATAACATATTCGACCACGATAATCAAGGATTCAGGAAGCACACTATATTGGTGAAACAAGAACCCCATACTTCTTCGACGGCGGCCGGTGAGACGTGGGCACCGGACGCTGGCTCGTTACAATATAGTGCAAATGAATTCAGATTAAACCATTCATGCACATCGCCAACGATTTTAAACGCTTCTTTTCTTCATGATCCATCATAATCAGTTCCCTACTTTGTTTTATTTGTTTTAGTTATAATGCAATAATTGAAATTCAAAATGTCCCCCTGGTGGTGTTGTTGCTCTTCAGGTTTACAAACAAATGAGAGTTTGTAAAAAGACAAACGTGTTTTTGCATGTACTGCCCATTTTGTTTAAATTCAGTGTTTTTGTTTACATTAGCGGGCTAGCTCATCGCCACGCCCCCTAACCCATAAAAGGCGATTGTCACATCCGGGTTCATAGATCAGAGGTCAAAGCTCATTGGTCATTTTAACTTGGCAGCTAAACATTTAGAAGAAAAAAAAATTCAGAAGATCGCCATCTTTATTTATACAGTCGCAACAATTTATTTGAATTTTCAACATCTTGTGCTTGCCCTCCCATCCCTCTCTGTTTTTTGTTTGTATTTACTTGGTTAAATTTATCAAATGATATGAATGTACATTTTCAAAGTTCAGTGACTAGAGTCTTTGTCAGACACTGCATATATGTTTACTATTGTCATTGCATATATGTATACTATTCCCATTTTGGCGGATAGTTTTTTCTTCCGCTCACCTTTGCTTATATTTTATAGACATTTTAATTTGTTTGAAGAAATAATTGGATTTTTTCGAAATCATGTGTTACTCAGATCAAGAATTAGTAAGAGAAGTTTTTATCCAAAAATTTTCAGAATATGAATAAAAAATTACGGCCACTTCCTAAAAAGTGAGCCAATTTTTCGCCAATCACAAATGTTTTGGTGTTATTTTGTTGGAGAATTGATGAGACATTAAGCAAACAGAGCTTCACAGCATGGAGATAGTTTTAATCACTTGACAGATACATGTATAATTATATTGAAGGTATTGGGAGGTCAAGAGACAGCACATGAACTTTTAAAATCGTCGGCACAATATTTAGGTTTTGCAGTAAAAGCAAAAATGTAATGTTGTACAGCTAAAACCCCAGGGGAACAAGTGAACATAATATAAGAAAGATAGTTTCAGCAAATTCAATAAAGGCCCGGCCAGAACAGCAACCGGAGCAGACGGCAAACTTGGATGCTGGACATAGGGCTGACAATCCCAAAACAAACATATATCAGCCAGATGTACATGGATATCTATGTATGCAACAATAATTGCCATTTTACGATTCATTTTTAAACGACCTTAATCGACAAGTTTGTAGATATACAGGTAGATAAAATGTAAACAGAACAGCCTAACCTGTTACCAGTTACATGTTAAATACGAGATAACGGGTACATCTTTACTAGAGACCATTACATAACTGATCTGATACACAACGATGTCACTACACCGGATGCATTCCGTGGGTGTCAATTTACAAATTTTACTTTTCTATAGACAAAGGGAAAATGATGGTTCTATTTGCAATAATATATACCATATCAAGTTATATAAGCACACTTGCTATATGTATATTGTTATGTACATATCTTTTTTACTTCCTGGTGTAACATGGGAACGATATCGGCACACAGTATGTACAAATCAAAAGGGAATGTATTTGAATTACGGTTTTGATGACAGCGGTCAACAGTCGTGCCGATGTCATTTTATCATATTACAACAGAACGGTACAGTGATCGAGTATTGCGTCGTTATCATGATTATTCTGAATAGAAGATAGTACTGTAAAGACGAAACTGGATAATTTCAACTCTTCTTCATGGCGTGAATTAGTGTTTTTTTCATAACTGTTATCGTTTATAAATGAAGCAATCAATGTAAAAGTCGGATAACACATGACTATTGACCAAAAGTGACGTTAAGCACACACTTTTTTAGAATTTAAACGAAAGCAGCAAGTGAAACAGCGTTTACATAAATACTTATCATATGAGAAGATATAGAAGATAATTTAATCTACCTATTATTTACTTTCTATTTATAGTTTATGAAACCGCTAGAAACCGACGAAAAATGACAATAGGACAATCTCTCGCGCCATCGACAAAGTCAGGTGTTTTTTCAAAGGTCTGGTTTCACTTTCGCCAGGGCTATTGTTTAGTTGTGCTTTGTATGTGTGTTGTGTATGTGTCACCCGCCTGTAGACTAGCTGAATTCCTATTCCAGATGCGGTGTGTCCTTGTGCTGTTTTGTGTCGGCTGTTGGAATAAACTTGGATCTTGTTATTTTTTAAATTGTATTGGGATTTTTAATATATTTATGGATATTGTACTTCAAAGTTTATTACGATATAGTTAAAGAATGTTTTATTTCCTAAAAGTACTGATTCTTCAAAGGATTGGTTTGATATTTTGGTTAACATAATATAACAGATTACCACCCATTTGAAACACTCGTTTTTGGTACAGGTCCTTGTATCAGTTAGTATAATGAATAATGTACCTGTGTGGTAGTCCGGGTGTGTGGATACCTGTGTGGTAGTCCGGGTGTGTATACCTGTGTGGTAGTCCGGGTGTGTGTATACCTGTGTATGGGTATTGGTTATTCTTGTGTCGCTTATGTACAGCTTTGGGTTGTTAACTGGTGTGGGTTTTTGTTTTTAACTGATGTGGTTACACGGGTGTGTGATATTACCTAGTGTTGTTTTTGTAGGTGTGTGGTTTGTTAATTAATGTCGTTTGTGTCCAGGTGTGGGTCGCTACTGGTGTGGTTTGTGTCCAGGTGTGGGTCGCTACTGGTTTGGTTTGTGTCCAGGTGTGGGTCGCTACTGGTGTGGTTTGTGTCCAGGTGTGGGTCGCTACTGGTGTGGTTTGTGTCCAGGTGTGGGTCGCTACTGGTGTGGTTTGTGTCCAGGTGTGGGTCGCTACTGGTGTGGTTTGTGTCCAGGTGTGGGTCGCTACTGGTGTGGTTTGTGTCCAGGTGTGGGTCGCTACTGGTGTGGTTTGTGTCCAGGTGTGGGTCGCTACTGGTGTGGTTTGTGTCCAGGTGTGGGTCGCTACTGATGAGGTTTGTGTCCAGGTGTGGGTCGTTACTGATGTGGTTTGTGTCCAGGTGTGAGTCGTTACTGATGTGGTTTGTGTCCAGGTGTGGGTCGCTACTGGTGAGGTTTGTGTCCAGGTGTGGGTCGTTACTGATGTGGTTTGTGACCAGGTGTGGGTCGCTACTGGTGTGGTTTGTGTCCAGGTGTGGGTCGCTACTGATGAGGTTTGTGTCCAGGTGTGGGTCGTTACTGATGTGGTTTGTGTCCAGGTGTGGGTCGTTACTGATGTGGTTTGTGTCCAGGTGTGGGTCGTTACTGATGTGGTTTGTGTCCAGGTGTGGGTCGCTACTGGTGAGGTTTGTGTCCAGGTGTGGGTCGCTACTGGTGGGGTTTGTGTAAAGAGGTGGTAGGAGAACTGGTGATGTTTTTTCAAGGATATTGGTTGTGAACCACATGCGTTACGTTTACTTTTGGTGTATATATAATATACTCACAACCCACATGTGTAAATCAGTTTACAACCAACCTTTTTATACAAATCCCACCATTCTACCATCCCCTTGAGTATCGGGTTATTTAAGCACAGCTATTTCAAATTTACAACTTAAACATGAAAATTCCGCTGTTTTTCCTTTCAAAATGTGTCTTAGTTATTTATCTCTATTTCTCATTTTGGACCCCCAGCCGTGTCCCCCGTTTCGCCTTTGTATACGATTTCTTCAAAGTCACCAATGACGTCCTGGACTTGTAATCAGTTAAATGGGGACTAGATGCTGGACGAAGGACGCCGCGCCGTGACATTACTCCTTAACCTAACCCTTCGATATAAGCGAACAAATACTGCAAGAAACAACATAAAAGTCTTGCTTTCACTGTCAGCCACATTTTCGATATTACAGTCGCCTGAAGGTATGCTGGGAGTTACACACTCATGTTTGGTTAATCTGTTGCCTTTCATATCGAATAATGAAAGCTAACGTAATAAAATGTACTTTCTTGGTTGAATCATGTTGTTAAAATGTAGTTTGAACAGCATTAAGGTGTAATGACGGGCCGACCTAAAATATCGTCCTCACTTATATTTATAACAACCGTCGTCCTTTAAAACTACATATATAGTCTAAACGTTGTAATATTACCTGTCATTGGTATATGTCGGTTACTGCGCACTGTCATACTACCCAATGGTGCTTATTAAAAGCCGTGACTCAATACTCTATTAATAACTGTCCACAATTAAGGTTTTCATAAGGTTAAAGAATGAGTTACGTGTATACACATATGCTTGTGGTGAGTCGTTCAGCTAGGCTGTCAGGGGATAACCGTCAAGGACCCCGAGTACCGGAAGTGCCCTTCGGGAACCTTCTGTGCTGACCCTGGGAGTCAGGACGGTGACAGCCGATGGGATACACCTGAGACACCGAGCTGCACAGACGTCCCTGGACCCTGTCCTGTGCCGCTCCCTGTTACCGCCGATACCCGACGGTCACAGGCTATCAGGTAACTCCATATGATTACTCAATTCACAACATGCTTTAGAATATGAAATTGTTTGGCAGTCTTCTGGGGGTATTCCCTGGACGCATACGGTTCTAGAAACAACAAAGGGAAGGTAGTTATAGTTTGTATCATATATGTACTATATTTACCTGAGATATTTTACCTGTATATCTACCTGTGATTTTAAAGTTAAAAAGTTATGATTTTTATTGAACTGGCGTAAGGTTTCAAAGAATAATATCATCATCAGTGTGAAAGAAAACTAAGACATTAATATCAAGTTCAATATTTTTATTCGATAAATCCATACTCAATATCAATATATTAATTACAATTGAATTCAAATAGAACAGTGACATGCATAAATTTCAGTTTTCATTTATATCATGCATTGGGAAAATATTACTTCTAAATACTCTGATGTATTCAAATATATTTTAATGTATATTAAATGATAAAACTTAATCAGTACATTGCAAAGTTGATAGTTGTATGAAGGAGCTCACATATTATAAGGGGAGAGAACTAGACTTCAACTTACTTATATAGAGCATTATGAATTATAAAAGAAGATATTTACATGAGGTACAATACTGACATATACCTTATGCTGGTGAAAATTAAAATAGTAAGAATAATGCTGTCTTAGATAATGTTTGCTTCAATATTTTTGGTCAAATCATAAAAATCTAACATCTTCAAAACACGGAAAGGTGTCTCCTTATATTTTGAAGAAAAAGAAAAAGTATACAGAAAATGTTGGAAATAACAGTGAAATATTCCTGTATCTGTGATAAAAATATAGTCCCTTACCATTCCTTTATTATCTGATATTACCTTCAAAGTAAGGTAGCTCTATATATTCATTTAAAAATCGAAGAAAAAATATGTCATGAGGGAAAATACATATATGACGAATGTTTTAGCACAAATGAACGATTAATTTTGAAAGATAAAAGCTTGAGAGTAATCTATAAAATGCCGGAAAAAAAGAAAAAGGAAACTGAAAATGTAAAACAAGTTTTGAAATTAACGAAAATATATCAGATAAAAGGAAAGTATGAGAAAAAAGTAAAGTTCTTAAATTAAAGACGGGAAAAAGCTACTGGTTCAATGAAGAGATTCTGATCTCATTCAAGATGGAGAAGATTGAAGCGGCAATTGCACAGATTGACCTTTATGAGAGTTGAATAGATAAACCCCCAGTCCATACATACATAATTGATTAATCCTTTTTATCTCCGTAATTGTTGGGTTGTCTGCATTACCGTGTTTAAATTCAACTTTATTTTTTTTTATTTTATATAATTTTTGCTTTAAGGCCCACTAGGTCACTAGTGTTCAATTTTGAGTATCTCTGATGATACATTTTACTTGCTTTTTTGCATTAGAACTGGACTGCCAGATGTATAAACGTACATGTTTCACTATAATCTGCATGCTATGACGTTTTCACTTTCAAATAAGCAATAATACTATTTTTTCTAAAGTCATATTGATTCTTTAAAAATGTAATTTTTAATATTTGGTTTCCCCATTAAATGACTAATATATATATATATATATATATATCATTTAGGGCTTTGCTAAATATTAATTAATTGTGCTTTATAATTAATTTATTTATCTGTTATTGAAAGATCAGTTCAATTATATCAAATACTATATGGATCAGCTCGTTAATATTATCAAAAATATAAAATTGAAGAAAATTAAAAAGTCAAAAAAATATATAAGAATATTTATATAAGCATATGTGCTTGAGTTCCAACAGGTGAGTTTTACAGGAAGATTCACTTGTTGAAACTCAGGCACTTTTTAAGAAAAAGACTATAACCCCTATCAAAACAAGTTGCCCTACAGGTAAATTAAAAATGTACATTTGCTCTGCACAATACCTATATTTTGCCCAACAACATGTATTGGGTGACGTCACCAGGCTGGTATAGGAATACAAAATCTATATTGTGTGAACTAGCCCATTACTCATTTACGATACAGTGAAATAAATACGAAATATATATGTATATGTTTTGAAAAATACATATTTAATGATCTAATGTTCAACAATTCAAGTCTAATTTGCTAAAAGCAAACAAATAAAACATTACTAACATAGTTTTAACTGATGGAAGATTCGTGTGTTCTACTGTGTATTGTCACTTCAGCAAGGCAGCAAAATGTTCTTGTACAATACTGGGATTTAGAAGTGGGTCGGTCTGTTCCGACGGGGAATTTTTAAACAATTTAGTAACGAAAACGTTATTTGGAACTTTGATATACATTTGGAAGTTTGGAGATTCAGAAGAGACAGAGTGCAACACGGATGCAGCACGTGACAATGCTAACAAATTCAGAGAAATGTTTAAAAATCCAATGATTCAAATTTATCACCAGCTCAAACACCAAAAATGTCCAATCTGCTCCTTGATAAATCTTGTTGTCAAACATCCTACTAAGTCTGCATCCTTAAGCATGGTAATGAAACACCCCAGGTGACTGGATTTTATTATACAAAATATATATCGCAGCTGTCTGTCTTTATATTTAACGAAGAGTAAATACTAGACGGGGTCTGGTTGATATAAAGGACGTGGTTCGTGTCTTTTGTTTGACATGCAATATAACCAATACCAAGGTACATGCTTTTGTACTGCCAATTTCTATTGACAATTATATAGAAATACGCAGAAAGAGACTCGTCACTGCGTTATCATATTGCCCAACCCCTGACCCCCACCCCGATCAGGACTGCAAGTATTATACGTGCTTTACGTGTATATATGCGATTAAACAACCTACCTTCCCACCCAACCGTGTATATTTTAACCTGTATATGTATAATAAATTTTAATTTTAAAACTGCCTGACATCCCCGTTCTTTACCGTCTTCACTTTGATGTGTATTTATATGACATCAACTCATTGATGTCACATTGATTTCTATATGAGTATGTCCCATCTTTGGATCGTATACATTGCTACACCTATATATGACAAACACCATTTTTTTCCATTTCAAAATATTTTATTAAATCAATCCGATTCAAAAGAAATTGAGCAAGAAGCAAAGCCTATATAAATCCTCTCCCAGGAGGTACATCTCAAACAATAGCAGATAATAAACTAATATAGAGCACTATGAATTATAAAAGAAGTTATTTACATAGGGTACAATACTGTCATATACCTTATGCTGGTGCAAATTAAATAATAGTAAGAATAATGCTGTCTTAGATAATGTTTGCTTCAATATTTTTAGTCAAATCATAAAAATGTAACATCTTCAAAACACTGAAAAGCGTCTCCTTATATTTTGAAGAAAAAGAAATAAGTATAAAGACAATGTTGGAAATAACATTGAAATATTCCTGTATCTGTGATAAATATATGGTCCCTTAACATTCCTTTATATCTGACTTTGCTTTCAAATTACGAATTAAAAGTATTTATTTAACTCTGTATATTCATTAAAAAACCTAAGAAAGAAATATGTCATGAGGAAAATACATATATGACGAGGGCTGAAATGATTTAACTCTTGTAAAGCACAAATAAACGATTAATTTTGAAAGTTAAAAGCTTCAAAATAATTGATAAAATGCCGTAAGTAAAAGAAAAAGGAAACTGAAAATGTAAAACAAATACTTGAAATTATAGAAAAATTCTCAGATAAAAGGAAAGTATGAGAAAAAAGGAAAGTTCTTAAATTAAAGACGGGAAAAGCTACTGGTTCAATGAAGAGATTCTGATCTCATTCAAGATGGAGAAGGTTGAAGCAGCACCTGCACAGATTGACAATTATGAGAGTTGAATAGATAAACCCCCAGTCCAAATATACATACATACGAATTTATTCATCCTTTTTATTTCAGTAAATGTTGCTTTGTCTGTATTACCGTGTTTAAACTCAACTTTAATATTTGTTTATTTAATATAATGTTTGCTCTAAGGCCCAACGTCTGTCACTAATGTTCAATTTTGAGTAACTCAGATGATACATTTTACAAGCTTTCTTTTGCATAAAGACTGGACTGCCAGATGTATAAACATTCATGTTTCACTATAATCTGTATACTATGACGTTTTCACTTTCAAATAAACAATAATACTTTTTTTTCTTCTAAAACCACATTGATTCTTTAAAAATGTTATTTTATCACGTATACACCTGAAAGGTACCAATAAATATTTGGTTTCCCCACTTAATGACTAAGAGATGTATATCAATCAATTAGGGTGTTGTTAAATTTTAATTAATTGTGCTCTATAATTGATTTATGTATCTGTTATTGAAAGAACAGTTCATTTATATCAAATTCTATATGGATCAGCTAGTTAATATAATCAAAAATATGAAATTGAAGAAAATTAAACAGCCAAAAAAATATATAAGAATATTTATATAAGCATATGTGCTTGAGTTTTAACAGGTTAGCTTTGCAGGAAGATTCACTTGTTGAAACTCAGACACTTTTTAAGAAAAAGACTATAACACCTATCAAGTTGCCCTACAGGTAAATTAAAAAGGTATGCGTTCAGGGAATCAGCCGTCTTCTGGGTATTTACACTTGCTCTGCACAATACCTACATTTTGCCCAACAACATTTATTGGGTGACGTCACCAGGCTGGTATAGGAATACAAAATCTATATTGTGTGAACTAGCCCATTACTCATTTACGATACAGGGAAATAAATACGAAATATATATGTATATGTTTTGAAATATACATATTTAATGATCTAATGTTCAACAATTCAAGTCTAATTTGCTAAAAGCAAACAAATAAAACATCACTAACATAGTTTTAACTGATGGAAGATCCGTGTGTTCTACTGTGTATTGTCACTTCAGCAAGGCAGCGAAATGTTCTTGTACAATACTGGGATTTAGAACTGGGTCTGTCTTTTCCGACGGGGAATTTTTAAACAATTTAGCAACGCAAATGGTATTTGGAACTTTAATATAAGTTTTGAAGTTTGGAGATTCAGAAGAGA